TAAACTTGGAATAAATAACTAATTAGTCATTTTAAAATACCCGGTATCACAATATTGATATTGAATGTGGGGTTCGGCCCATTCCAGTTTCCCTATCAGACATCAACTGCGACCATTTTCGACATGCCCTTCACTGCGTGACCTTCCCCTTGACCCTCCACCTTCTTGCTTAACCTCTCCCTTCCTTCGAGTTAGAGTTTTAGCATCCCATCGTCCCATATACCCAACAACGATGGGAACCCAAGAAGCCCCACTCTTCCTCCGACGACTTCTATAATCGGCACCCCACCCTCTTCTTATTCCCTTGAACACCCTTCATGCTGATCCTCACCGATCTCACATCCTATTCTCCCTCTTCTCTCCATAACCCTCGTTGTCGTAGATGACAATTATTGTAGATGACGTCTATCTCTCTTTACTTAAAAAATCTTATTCATAGCAAAATCATCATCTTGTTCATGGGCTTTTGTTGGTTTCTTTTGCTAGTTAATCGAGTAAATTGCATTAATTCAATCTTTCTTCTTATCAATAGTTATCTTGTTAGATTGTTTTGTTCTTTTTTGGTTTTTCAGATGACTTTGAGTCTTTTTTTAACTGATTGAAGTGGTGTATCTGGGTTAAATCCAATTCTCCTTCGTGATTTCAGCTGTTACAGTTGTGATGATCTTATTAGTTTTTTTTGGTATTGAATGATAACTAAACTTAGAGCATCCACACACGTATGACAATACCACTTTTACTTTCAGTTGCATTTCACCTTTGCTTCCACGCAGGATTGGCAATTGCAATTGACTTTGCAAGCCATGTCAGCATCACTTTCCATTTTTTTAAATAATTTAAATAAACTAATTTTTTTATATAAAATATATATTTTAATTCATAAAATCGATTTATTTTTTAAAATAAAATTAATTATTCTTATTATTATATATATATATATTATTTTTAAATAAAATATAAATACAATCATAATAAATATGTTTAATTAATATAGTTAAATTAATTTAAACATTAAATTTTATCATCASCTAAAATTAAAATTATACATATTAAAAYATACAATATTGATAAAATTACATATAATTTACTCTATAAAGTTACGTATGATATAATCTAATACGCACAATTCATAAAATAACACGAATAAAATTACATTTTTATTCGTCTAAAAGTTACCGAATTTTTTTATCGTACAATCTTCGATGTTGCTCTGTCATAGTTGACAGATCAATTTCCATCAACTTGATCGTCAGTTCTTCTTTTTTAAGTTCCTCTTTTTCTCTCTCTCGTGCCTCTTTTTCCTCCCTCGTTCTTCTTTTTTCCTCTCTCGTTCTTTTATAGCTTCCGTATATTTGTTCATTGCAAAAAAAACAAGAATCAACTAGGAAAGATGTAGAAAGAGCGTTTGGGGTATTACAATCACGATTTGCTATAGTTAAAGGGCCATCACGCATGTGGTTCAAGGAAATAATCAGAGAAATACTAAGAGCTTGCATAATAATGCACACTATGAATGTGGAAGATGAACGTGACTCGTATATTCGTCAATTTGATTTCATACATGATGCTAATTTTAGTATATATATGCCTCAAGTTTCTCGAAATTATCTTTCTAAGTATGAAAATTATCTCCGAAGTCATGCAAGGATATGTAACATTGGTCACAACAATCAACTACAAGTGGACTTGGTTGAAGAGATTTGGAGTCGATTTAAAGGAAGAGTAAACAATGATTAATGTAATTCTTTTTTGCTATATGTAATCTTTTTAATTCAATAAAAGTTGTATTTTGATATAATTTAATAAAGTATATATATATATATATATATATATATATATTAGATTAAAAGATAATTAGAATATGTATAATAATTTATAAAGTAATTCATAAATGTTATAATGGGGACCACTTTTGAAAGTGTATGCGAATTGTACGCATGTAGATGGTAATTGCAAAAGCTGACGTGACACAATTGAAAACATAAACGAATTGCAGGGATGTGGATGGTCTAACAGATTTGGGCCCATCGAAGAAAAGCAATAAATCGGATTTTTGGGTTTGGATTTTCTCGTGAAACTAATAGTAGGGAGACGAGGGTAGGCTAGTGGATCTGGGTTGATCGGAGATGAAGATGAATTGGGGAGGGGGCACCAGGAAAGGAAGATACTTCCTTTTAGTAATGGTCGAGTCAATAAGGGAAGAGGGGATATCGGAGGAGGATGGCAAGAGACGGTGGCTGGAGAGAGAAGGAGGTTGATGGTGGGGGAGGAGAACGGTGGTCATCGGTATTGAGGGAGACGCTTCCTGTGTAATGTAATATATAATAAATATATTATTTATTTTTTAAATAAAAAATAGACAAAAAGGACACATGTCATTGTTCAAGTGGTGCTTTAAAGAAGTTTTTAATAGAAAATAAAAATGACTAAATTGGCCCTTGAGGTAACGGATTGGAGGTAACTCTGTTAGAGGCATGGATCTAGCTCGTGACAGAATGCAAATTACAGGGACGTTTATTGCACTTATTTTGAAAGTAGTGGGACATGAGTAAACTAGAGGGACCTATGGTGTAATTTACTCCTTCTTTTAATCGAAAGAGTAAATTATGTTTTCGTCTTTATGGTTCGTTCAAAATTGCTATTTTGGGTCTCATGATTTTAAAATTACAATTTTCGTTCTTATGATTTATAATTTGTTATCGTTTTCATCTTTCTGATTTAAAATTTACTATTGTTTTTGTTCTCATGGTTTACATTTTAAAGCTATTTTAGTCTTTCATACTTAAAAGTAGAAAATAGCTTTAGAGACAGTGGCGATTCTAGGATTTTTACCAAACAAGGGTACCTTTAAGGTAGATTAAAGACCCACAAAGTCACCCGATGTATATTTAATATAATTCCACCATTTTGAGGGATTATTTTTCGGGTTTTTTGGTTGATTTTTCGAGAAACTTTTTTGTTTTTTTGATTGATTTCAAGAAACTTTTTGGTTGGTTTCGAGGTACTTTTTACGGACCTAGGTGAGAAATGTAAATTTTTTGCGGACTTTGGTGAAAAATGTACTTTTTTGGCGGACATGAGTAAAAAGTGTAATTTTTTTGTCTTTTAGATGGGTATGCAATTACTGAGTTTTGCGGACCTATGACTATTTTGGTAAACTTGGAGAAAAAATGGTTAAAAGGTGAAACCAACCATGAAAAATAGCTATTTTATAAATTTTCCTTTACATTTTTCTAAATAATTTGGTTCGTTATAAATAAAGAGATCCGATCAACTTTTTTATTATAAATAATTTAGTCCCTAAATTTTTTAATAAAAAAATCATTAAACTTTTTCATTTTAAATAATTAAGTCCTTTAACTATTTTTTTAAATGAAAAACCAATAAATTTTCTTATTTTAAATGATTAGCTCTCTGAATATTTTTTAATAAATAAATTATAGCACTTTAAATATTAATTACCTACATCATTTTAACCCAAAAAAATGTACATTTAATCGTCTAGCAAAAGTTCGATGGTTTATTTATTAAATATTTTTTTAGGGTCTTAATCATTAAAAATAAGAAAGTTTAATGGTCTTTTCATTTAAAATAATGGTTTTTCATTGAAAAAATGTTTAAGAAATAAATCGTTTAAAATAGGAAAGTTGATTGAATTTTTTTGAACTTTTTCCTTACATAAGAAATTTATCCAAGCAATTTAACTAATGGTCCGCTTTAAATTTCGGGATCATGTGTTAACATGTTAAATCTTGATATTCAAACATAGCCTTCAAAATTGCCCAATTTCACTTGTGTTATAACTCAACTTGTCAACCTACCTCAGTAAAGACCTATATAATTTATATCATAATCAAACGTGCCTTTTTAATTGAGAAAATGACTTAAATAGTCATTCCACCCATTTAAATTGGTCTCCTAGCCATTCTTATCCCCGATTTATCCAAATGTCACTATGTCTGCAATATTCACGTCTGCAGTATTGCGGACCTGGCTAAAAGACATACAAAAATTATCAGATTCAACTCATGTATGCAATTGCGACGGTTAGTTCCGCAATTACGACGACAGAGTCTACAATGCAACGACCAGGTCTGCAATTGCGACGGTGCCACTTGCTCACCGGGTGGAATTTGATTTTTTTTGTCTTTCAGTCACGTCTGCTATATTGCGGACGTAGTGACATTTGCATAAATCCGAGAGAGAATGACTAGAAGATCAATTTAAATTGGTGGAATGACTTTTTGAGTCAATTTCCTTTTTGAATTTCAGAATTTGACGGTCAAGAACAAAAACAACCTTTTGATATTCTTCTCACTTTTGCATTTTAAACATTTTTGCTTTTTTAATTTCTAAGATTTTCAATATAACATGAAATTTTATATTTTAGTTTATTTATTACTCATTTCAAACGATATATAATTTTAGTATGGATGTAACATGGCCTCTAAAAATAATGGGACGACATTGTCAAAATCACAAGCCAAATTAAATTAAGACCACACAAATTTAAAATGATAACTATAGTCAGAAGAACATCTCCGACATGTATGCTATATTTTCTTTTAAATTTGAAGATTTCTTCATTCTTTTTTATTTTATTTTAGATGAGAATTCAACATAGTTGTTTAAACAAACTCTTTTTAAATCTTCAATGTTTTTAAAATAACATAACTGTTGAAGATGCTCTAATTTTTTCGTAAATCCGAAGTAATTTTGTTAAAACATGTTTAAATTTGTATATGTATTTAGATTTTTATTAAATATTTTTTAGTATGATATAACATTACTCCTACACTTTTTTCTTTGTTATCATGGAACTTGTTATCAGTTTGTCATCGGTATAAATTATTTATCTAAACACTCAAAAATACTTATTATCTGTATTACACTAAAATAAGCCAATAAGTTATTTTTATAAGCCGTTAACTTGATTCAACCGGTTTAGACCTGACGAAGTTGGTATAACACCCTAGGTGTAATAATTATGGCGCAAGGGAAAAAGAAAGAAAGAAAGAATTCCCTTGCAAAAAGGTCCCAACATAGAGCCGAGCCTACTCAGCGAACTGTGCTCCTGTTCCTTCATCTGCTCTCTATGGCGGCTTCTGTATCTACACACTCGGCGTTATTTCACGGTGGAAGAGCTCCGCCTATGAAACTGCCTGCCTCCAATCTACCGCCATCTACAAAGACCCTAGGTTGCATGCCGACTATATTCTCTCCTACCCTGTTTTCAGAACCGAAAAGATCTGAGTTCAAAGGACTCTCTGTGCAAGCAAGCAGCGGTACCGTTTCCTCAGCCGTTGATTCAGCTCCATCATTGGCTCGACCTAAGTGAGTTCATGCGACTAATTTAACCTCTACCCAATTTTCGAATTTTAATGGTTTTCTTGTTAATTGCTGGTAATCGTTGTTAAGTTATTTTCGTTTTTCCAAGTCATAGTGGTGAGGTTTGTGATTGATGATGGATTATGATCAAATTTGCATTATCGATACGTTCATTTTTTTTAATTGGTTACGCTTTAGGTTTTTAGTGTCGTTTATACATGTCGATAATTATTATTCCTATCAATTACTCAATCCTGAACGCTTGTAGTTTGAGTACAGAAGTTACAATCATCTCTTTTAGTAGCTCAAAAGGTTATATATGTAGCTGTCTCTATACTATATATACGTGTGTGTGTGTGTATGGCTAGTAAATAATTTGATAAAGTTACTCTTTCCCCTAATCTTGTGATCACTGTCACTCCCACGGTCCCAACAAAAGTCCACATTTGATCTTGAGAAGTTAAGTCTTGTACTTTTGAAATATGAACTTGAGGTTGTTTTAGATTGGTGATTCAAATGTTTTATTATTGTGATAAGCTGTTATAGGTTAGGTTGAATCTTGGATCAACTGTAAAGTTGTTCGGGTGACAAAAGCCTCTTTGCAAACGAGCAAGGGAAATGCCACATACAAAAACTTCCCTCTGCAAGACCGCAACGCAGTCTTGTTTTCTCTAGTAGAATTGCTATGTTGTATGTTGTTGGGGTGAATATTAAAGTAAATTTGAATTAGAAAGTGTATAGAGTAACTTGTACACTTTTGTATTATTGTTTGAAGAATCAGTTTATGTTTAAGCCTCCATTCAAGGATATCGTTCTTTTTCCTTCCTAAAAATTATTTTATGGATGTTGTTTTGACCATGTAACATATAACTAAGCCTATGCTTGAACAATTACCCAAGTATCTGGCTGGCTATAAGCCCTGATGTCTGATCTTTGAGTCATACAAGAAAATTGAGGTAATGGGATGTTTGCGGTTGAGTTCATTGTGGTGTGGCCGCATCAACTGATGATGTCAACAAGTATAGTTCCTTTAGATACCGGGTCCACGTGGAATCATTAACTGGCAAAAAAGAGAAAAACTAGCAGTCAAGGTAGGGAAATTGATTTAAAGATTACCGCCTAACCTTAGTTGAAACAATTTGCTTGCATATGTTGACACCATACACCGAAACTACAGTCGTTAACAAGTAAATGTGTGGAACCCTTAAAAATAAGCAATTTTACCAAATTCATTTGGATTCAGAAAACAACACTAAAGGTATGAACTTGCAAGTTGGGCTCTGTGAGCTATTAATCAGGACCAACTGCCTATCTGCAGCTTGTAGATGCTAATTCGTGCACTGTTCCTAGAACACATAATGGTAAAAGACTAATGTACTTTATTAAAAATGTTGTTTATCTTTTTTTTCTTTCTTTCTGATATATAAACCAAATTGACTCCATCAAGTTCATACAAAAAAGTTTAAAGGTGAAACCGTATCATTGCCAGAAACGTATAGATCAAATGGTGCAGGTTTTGACATATTTTTCTTTGTTACGAATGATATTATATGTTATGTATTTGATTATTTGTTTTTCTTATTCGTATCCCACCTTTGGTTTCTAGTAATATGTGTTTGACATACATGCTTTGATTAATTTACTTTCCACCCCTTGATTTGTGGTCAGGGTGAGGCGCCACACCATTTCAGTATTTGTTGGTGATGAGAGTGGAATGATAAATCGGATTGCAGGAGTTTTTGCAAGGAGGGGATATAATATCGAGTCTCTTGCTGTTGGTTTAAACAAGGACAAAGCCCTTTTTACTATTGTTGTATCCGGAACTGAAAGAGTATTGCAGCAAGTTATGAAACAGCTTCTAAAGCTTGTTAATGTGATGAAGGTTGGCTTTTATTTTGACCTTCGATCCATCATATTCTCTATTTACCCTAGCTCAGAGGACTTGTGCATTGTCCAGTTTACAAACAGCAGGACTGTGACACTTTCACGTCTTTATCTGCATATGTCTTAATTGCAGCATTACCATTTTGATACTTTTTTATAGTAATTTTTTCTTTAATTAATAATAACCACTTCTACTGGATCCTAAGTTTACTAAACTGTCAAGTAAACCATTTTTAACAGGTTGAAGATATCTCAAAAGAGCCACAAGTAGAACGTGAGTTGATGCTCATTAAGATCAATGCTGATCCAAGCTACCGTTTGGAGGTAATTATGCTATCTTCTTTCATGTTCTGGTAAATCTGTGTTATTCATAACATACTCCATCATTCTGATAAATTGCAAAGAACACATGCAATTAAATCTAGCAAGTCATTTTTAACACGAGAGTATGCTATCTTACTATGTTCTCTATGATTTTAATTTTCAGGTCAAGTGGTTAGTAGACATCTTTAGAGCTAAAATTGTTGATATCTCAGAGCACTCGTTAACAATTGAGGTGATGGAAATCAATTTTTTTTACTTCAATCTTTTTACTATTCTTCATGCAATGTATTTGGAGTGAATTTTGGATTTTAATGCGTGCGATTACTAAATTGTTTATGCTATTAGGGAGCCTTTATTAGTTTGAATTTGTCTCAGAACCTTATTAATAGATATAAAATTTGGATACTCTTTGACTCTATGGAACAACTACGATTTGAAAAGCAGTCACATTTCAGGCCGTCTAAAGGGATATATAGGGCCATGAGACATGTGTGATGTTATGTCCAGCCTAAGTCTTTCACATTTGTATCTGTCAGTCTAACAATTTATACATGATATAGGTTAATACATCCTAGTTAGTTTTTCTTACTGTTTTCCTAGGTACACAAGGGTTAATACATTCTAGCTATGTTTGCTTTAGAATTTGTTTCCTGCTATGTCTAGTTATGCTCTCGCTACAAGGCATCCTATGTATTTCTTGTTATCCAAACCAGTATCTGGCTTAACTAGCTTAGGACGTTTTGCTCTTACTTTTATTTTGTAACAACGTCCACTGTTGATGCCTGGTTACCTGAACAAATATCTGGGTAAATTAGCTTAAAGAATGTTATCCGACTTCTGATGGCTAACTCAGAATTAATTCGTTCAACTGATCCAACTCATGGAAAGAGCTTCAATGTAAAAGTCTACCATCATGGATGCTAAGGTTTTCTTTTTCGAGGAGACTGCAGATTATATGGCCAAAACCGGAAAGTAGTATAACTTTTCCCCTTTTTAGTGTATGGTAAAGTGTTCCCATTTCTCATAGAAAATCTCTTGATTGTTGCATGAGACCTTTATATGGAGCTGTTTATGAAGGCTTTTAATATGGATTGTTTCTTGGTGGATTTCAGCTAGTTACCAAGTTTTGGATATCAGTCTTAGTGGCTACCTTATTTACCGATAGTTCCTCTTGACTGTAGTGGAAACTAGGAGATCATCTTGCCACTAAATTCAAAACCAGCCTTGATCATGTTATTTCAAATTTGATAACAAATGAGAAACGGTGAGGACATTTCTGAGCCTTTGGATCAGTTTTTTTGATCTGATGGCTCACATGAGCGGACCTTAACCACCTTCACCTTCAGTCACGCTCACATTTCTAGAATTTATTGAAGTTTCAGTCATGGCGATACAAGTAGGTATGGGAAGGTAAATGAAGGTGTGCTAATGCTGGTGGATGAAGGTAATGAAGGCCCGCGGTTCTCACCGTTGTCACCAAAAGAACTGTTGTTGCCGGAACCCAACCCTGTATATATATGTATATATATATATATATATATATATATATATGAATTCAGACAACCTCAATAACTAAATACGCTCAACACTTTCAGTATTACCAAATCATCAAATAGAAAGTAAAACATGTTCAAAAGCAGATACTCTTACTAGGTAATTTTATATTGTCTGGAATGTTGATTCTGGTAATTTTAATTTGGGACCTCTTAATGCTTCTATTATAGGCTAAAAGATTTCAATGGTAACATGCTTTTCTCATTTCTATGGTACAGATTGCACTCTTTTTGATAGTGCTTGATTATTTAGATAATGAATTACCAATTGTTGCTCCCATGGTATCAGTATCAATATGAAGTTGCAAGTCTTCATCATTGCAGAATTTACTTCTCCAACCAGAGATCATAACTCAAATGCAACTTCATGCACAAAGCAATGTTAAAAAGATAGTTTCCAATCTAAGCATAGTGACTGCTAACTGTCATGCTGGATGAAGTTCCCACAGGCTACAGCCTACAGCTGGTCAAATTCTTGTTAATCTTGTGGGGTATAGGCTATATTGTTTGTCTTCACATCTAACCTTTGACCATTCACCAACGCACCTAGATTGTCTTCCATTTTAGACTTCATCATATTTTTATATGATGTAACAAACCTAATCATGTTTGACAATTCATCACCACCATAATTTCCTTTATAAAACTAGTTCTAATGGTAAAATAGGTCTAGCACCTCGTATTGCATTGTGCTCTGATGAAGAGCTGAATAGAAGCCTTAACAATTCTTTTCCTACTTTGGAATCCAGGTAACAGGTGACCCGGGGAAAATGGTTGCGGTACAAAGAAATTTAAGCAAGTTCGGCATCCAAGAAGTTGCCAGGACCGGAAAGGTAAGTAATCAGTGAATTGATTTAATCATTCTATCATTTTCTTCTTATGAGAATTGATGTATGCTGTCTTTGATGCCTTAGATTGCCTTGAGAAGAGAAAAAATGGGTGAATCTGCTCCTTTCTGGCGATTTTCAGCAGCTTCATATCCGGACCTTGAAGGAATAAACTCAAAAACTCCTCTTCAGGCCAAAAAGAAAACAGAATATCTGGAATCTGATACATCAGTTGGGGTAAGTCTCAGTTTTTTTTGGCTGATACTTCATCTGCTCTTTCTGGTTTGGATTTTGAACTTTTTTCTTCCTGCATTCCTTCGGAGTTAATAATAAAGCTGGATTTATCAACCTTTATTTTGAAAATCTCAGTTCATGCTTGTTGTTTTACCTGTTGAAGTTTATTTTAGCCGAATATTGTATTATTATTTACTAATTGTAAACGATGTTTATCTGTGAAGGGAGATGTTTATCCAGTGGAGCAAACTGATGACTATCCATTCAATCAAGTTCTTGATGCACATTGGGGTGTTCTTAATGAAGATGATGTAAGAAATTAATATCAGTTCTTAAATTCCACAAATGTTATTAAAGGCCGATGAAGTAGTAATTTCAGTTTAAAATTCTAATACTGGAAAAGGTTGATCACTAATAATTTCGGTTTAAAATGTTTTCAGACAAGCGGGCTTCGTTCACACACTTTATCAATGGTTGTAAACGACTCTCCTGGAGTTCTCAATATAGTAACAGGAGTTTTTGCTCGTAGAGGCTACAATATTCAGGTATATTTGTTTGTTGTATTCTTGATGTTAACTTTTCCCTTTTCTGAACGTTTTATACAAGTGCCAGAATTCAAACGCTTTTCGGTGTTTACACGTTATTGTCCATATCAGAGCCTAGCGGTTGGTCATGCGGAAGTAGAGGGGCGTTCCCGCATCACAACTGTTGTCCCTGGTACAGATGATTCAATCAGCAAGTTGGTGCAACAACTATATAAGTTGATAGATGTTCATGATGTGAGTATATATTACCATCAGATAATGCTCTATTCATTATGGGTTAAGCACAGATGATTTTAGAGCATCTCCAACAGATCCTATATAATTTCTCCAAAATGAAGAAATAAAAGTTAAAATCTTAAAAAATAATTTATTGATCTCCAACATTTTCTTCATTTTCGAGATTTCAAAGGGACCCATATCGTTAGTTTTTCAAAATAGGAACGAGATACGTTAAAAACACCAAACCGCGGGGACAAAAAATGTTATTCGCTCTAAATTAGACTTTTGAAATATTCAATAATATCCCAAGAAACTTTCATAAAACCTTCATATACAAGATAACACATTCAACCTCATGGTAGGAACAATAATACTTCTCTTTGGCATTTTAATTTCGAGAGTTCTCCAAATTTGGAGACTTTTAAAACTCCAAAATCTTCGCTTTGAAGAATCTGTTGGAGCAAAAATACAGGTTAAAAACTCCAAAATCTCCGAATTGGAGACTCTGTTGGAGATGCTCTAGCCATCTACCAACTCACCCACAGCCACTTCAAAGCCCATGTCATTGCTATTGCTACTCGAGAAGCCATCACTACGAAATTACACCATCAATCTATAGTTTTTCGAGCTGGTTTATTGCTCACTTTCCCGCTCTTAAGGTTGCTTCTCGAAGTTCATTCAACTGAAAAACGTGGTTTGTTGTTCAGGTTATTGATCTAACATCTATGCCATTTGCTGAACGAGAATTGATGTTGATAAAGGTTGCCGTGAATTCCACAGCCCGGCGCAATGTTCTTGACATTGCCAGCATATTTAGGGCTAAAGCCGTCGATGTGTCCGATCACACAATTACACTTGAGGTGAAGTTTATTCTTTATGCACTTACAAATTAGTTACTACTCCCTCTGTCTCAAAATAAATGTCCACAATGAAAAATACACGTAATTTTAGAAATATGTAATTATTACACTTTCTAATTAACTAAAATGACAATTTCGTCTTTACTACCACAAAATGAATTTCTTCATTTCATACTTAATGGTAGAATTCGGAAGTATACACTTTGGGACAAACTAAAATAGAAGTGTGGGCACTTATTTTGGGACGGAAGGTGTATGTCTCATAAAAATTGTAATAGCTCCCTTTTTGAGTTATCCCATGAAAATTGCAACATTTTCTTTTTGGAAAAAGATTCCAACTTAAAGTTACCTATTTGCTCATTATTATCATTACAAACAAATGAAGGTATTGATTTGGGTGTGCCATGCACAAGATTCTTTGTTTTCCTTGTTGAAAGGTTATTCTAGATATTTGTCAAATAGCCAACATTGTACTACTATGTATCAAATCGAATGTTATTCTGCTTGATACGGACTTGATATAAAAATCCTGCATCCCAATTGGCCACATTACTTATCACTTTGAGATGTAAAACCTTACAGAATAATCTTCTAATGTTACCTGTAACTTGCTAGAGACTTTTTTATTTTCGTAGTTTTGTTTTTGTTTCTTTTCCCTACGGTCTGTTTCAACAATAAATGGTTTTTCTTTTATTTTCCAGGTTACGGGAGATGTAAATAAGATGGCTGCATTGCAGAGATTATTGGAGCCGTGTGGAATTTGTGAGGTCCGTCTTTCAAATCCTCTCTCTTTAACGTATTTCTATTTGAATACGACATCTTTCTAAGTTTGGCCATCTGAAATTGTCTTACACCGGGATCCTTTAAGAGTGTCATGGTCTGGTTTAGCTTTGTTTTGGCTGGAACCACGAATCAACCAATCTGTTAGAATATTTTGACCCCTTAACCACAAACCGAACCACTCTGTTAAAATTTGTGGACCCCTTGAGCAAAAAAAGGCATGACGTCACCCTCTGGAGTGCTCCTACCTTACTGGGACCAGTAAGGTATGACCGTCACCCTTTGGAGCGCTCCTACCATAGTGATCTCTCAACGGTAGGTAAATCACGTGCCCCAGGGGCAGCTGGGAGTCAAACCCCATACCTTCCATTTATTTTGCAAGAATGTCCACCTTCTTATCTGATAGGCTAAAGCTGGGCTGTGGAGGTGGGGACTGATTCTTGATCGAAATCCATATCCGAAACTGAATTAAAGGGATTGGTTAGACATGGTTCCGTCTGATTTTGCCCTTAGGAGACATGAAACCCTTGATCCTTATTTGCAGGTGGCAAGAACAGGGCGGGTGGCTCTGACCCGTGAATCACGTGTGGATTCCTCTTACCTTCGTGGCTATTCCTATCCTGTTTGATTTCTTTTTGGAGGTCCTTCGTGTTTTGGGTGCGGTCAATGATCGAATCTATCAATGCGTGTGATCATTATTGGGCATCTGTAGCATTTTTCGTTAGTTTTCCTAAAGAAACAGAGCCTTCAAGCATGAGCTTATCCGTGCTACTTGGTATGAGTTCATGTTTTGAACAAATTACGTTGCTTTTAAGAGCCTTCGTTTCGATTTGTTTCAAAAGATCAAATTTTTTTTCGAGATTGTAGTTGACTTCACATTTTGAATAAATTATGTTGCTTTTAAGAGCCTCTCGTTTCGATTTGTTTCAAAAGATCTCATTTTTCAGGAGATGGTAGTTCATAGGGTCAAAGGTTTGAAACTTTTTAAGGATGCATTTGGTATGCGGGACATGAGGGGACAAGACGTGATAGAACGTTAGATTGGGACACGATGAGACTGAGTAGGACAAAAATGCACCAAAATAGGTGGAATAAAAGTCAGTGATTTGACAATTAGTAAATTATCAATGTCAAATTATAACCCTGAAACCTTCCACACGTCTTTCATCTGTCTACCTCATTCTCGACCGTCAAGTCATTTTGTCCAGCCCTGACCGTCTACTAAATGCGCCCTTGGTGAACCAAATCAAAGACCGAGTTATGAATTTGTGAGCCATAAACTGGGCTCAAACCTTATTGAACCTGGTTTGGTTTCAATGTTACTGAAGTTCGTCATGGTTCGAGTTTTGAGCGTGGTTTAGTTGCACCCATATTGAAATTCTTATGTTTGTTTTTATCTCGGAAATGCCTTTTAATTACCACATAGAGTAAATCACGTTTTTCGTTCCTGTGGTTCGTGTAAAGTTTAGATTTCCGTTCCCGTGGTTTCAGAATTGTGGTTTTTATCCCTACGGTTTACAATCTATTGCACTTTTTCCCTCTGAACCCAACTCTACTGGAGACGAAAACGACAACAAATTATAACCAAAAGGGCAAAAAGCGCAATAAATTGTATATGGTAAGGATATAAATCGTAATTTCAAAAAGTATGAGGATTAAAATAGAAATTTCCAACAAATCACATGGATAACATGTATATAAAATGGAAGATGGTCAATTTTAGTCCCTTTAAAACATTTGAGAGAATTTAGGTCATGATTTATGTTGCCCACAGAGAATATTTCAAACCCTACATTTAAGTCATCTCCAAAACATCATCCACCAATTCTCTTTGGGAGTCAAAATTCATTTGACAAAATTAGAAAATTAAAAAGAAGATGATGAACATGCAGAGCAAGAAAATGGAACAGCAACATGATCTTATCAAACACCATTAGAGATAGAGAAACAAAGAAACAAACAGAAAATGTGGCTTCCCAAAAGTGGAAGTAGTTTGCACGGTGGCGGTGGCGGCGGAGACCGGTTGCAGCGGAAAGGAACCGCCATGGTGGCGGTAGCTATCGACAAGGACAAAAACAGCCAACACGCTCTCAAATGGACCATCGAACATCTCGTTACCCGTGGCCAAACCATCGTTCTCATTCACGTCATTCGGAAACCTTCAGCTGCAGGCAATTATTCCGTTTCTATCGTTTTCTATAAATCTACTGTAAATTCCAAAAACTCAAACAACATGTTTTTTTTTATTAACCTGGATATCCAACCTTCTTTACGAGCCGACTAATCCCAGGGCAACCACCTGGTAGCCCGGAGTCACCGTATTTGAACCTCCATGGCTACAAGGGGATTTTTGTTCCTCCTTGGATTTGAACCTGAACTTCCTGACACTTTTGACCTTTGGAGCCAAGCTCAAACCAATCAGACACCACCCTTGTGATTAACAGCATACTTTTTATGCATCAAATTCAAAACCATCTAAAATTAGTCTGCATTGGATTGTAAATGCAGGTGGAGGGATTGATGTATCTGCTGCAAGTAAGCAACACAATGAGAAGCAAACTAGGGATTTGTTCCTCACCTTCCATTGCTTTTGTACCCGCAAAGAAGTATACAATTAACCACGCTTTCAAAATAACGATGCTACGTCTGTATGAAATTTACTGGGTTCGTTTCGTTTTCTTTTTGTATTCAAGTCGGTCTGTTGCAGGTACAGTGCCTCGATGTTATTCTCGAAGATACGAGTATATCAAAAGCGCTTACCGAATACGCTTCTTACGCAGCGATTGAGTTTTTGGTCCTTGGAGCTTCGTCGAAACATGGTTTCCTCAGGTGATTATATTATACGCTCGATCTTTTGCGATGGCCGGATATAAAACTGTCGCTGTTGAAACAAAACCGTTGATCACTTTTATTCCCGAAAAGTGGGCCCCACATGCAGAAAATGCATTTTGGGAGTTTGCAACTACACGGGCAAAAAGTGTAATGAGCTCTTTTTTTAGCGACACTTTTAAACCCTTATGTTCTGGGTGTCGCTAATACTCATTTCTGTTGCTAGAAAGTGGATGATTTGACTAATCATCAAAACATTCGTGACGGTAGGTTTCGGAGTTCCGATGTTCCGAGCCATGTTATGAAAGCGGCACCGGATTTCTGCACGATTTATGTCATCTCGAAAGGAAAGATATCCTCTGCGAAGAAATCTTCACGATCGGCCCCGTTTCCGTCCCCTCTACGCGAGAAAATCCAACAGCAGTCTAACCACAGCTTTGAAGCAAGCATTCGCCGCAAGAATAGTTTTAATATGCAAAGTCTGTCGTTTATAATTCCCGTTAAACTACGATCCAAATTCCTGAAAATTCTTTGTTCTGTACATGACACGACGAACTTGTGAACAGGGCCAGAAAAGACCGCCGAGAAGCCGCTTCCGGTTCCGGAAGACCCCGAAGGATTCAAGTAAGTTCAAAGAGTTTCCTTGGTTCTTTTCCTTCGATCACATATTTGCACAAGTTGGAAGTTTTCGGGTCCAGTTGTAGAAACGTCTGATCAACTTACTGTAACACCTTTGCGTATGTTGTTTAGTCACATAAACTTAAAGTCTTATAAAACAGTCTATTAGAACATCTAGAGATATAATATGGGCTCGTTTTGTTCGGTTCAGTTTTAACCGTAGATCATGCAATGCAGGTCGCCATTTAATAGAGGGAGAGGATTGAATCCGAAGTTATTGTGTGGGGAGCTTTCGGAATCGGATACAGATATATCATTCGTAAGCTCGGGAAGGCCAAGTAGCGATCGGATGTCTTCGGCATTGCGCTACGACATTTCTAGTCTTGATCTGAGCCCAACTCCAAGGCTTTCGACCAGTTCAGACCATAGCTTTGGGTCAATGTACTACGGAACCAAAGGATCGGACTTTGGTGCTATGTTTTCGTCATCCTCAATCGACAGCAAAAGACCATCTTCGGCACGATCCGGGGTAATACACATTCCTAGCTATGCTATAAGAAATTTCAAAACTTTTGCGACAAAACGGCTGTCGCTAAAGTTAAATGTGCGTCACACATTTTCAATCACATCATTCCTTTACATTTTGCGACACAATTTCGTGGCTACGTTTTTTTCGTCACTAGCCGATCTTACGAGCTTATTGAAAAATCAACGTTTGTCAAACACCAAACTATCTTCCTGAAGAACTAGTTCAGATAGATTATTAAAGCATCTCCAACATATCGTTTTAACCTTTTTATGACGTGAATTACAAATGCTAACATGACACACATACGGATACGGGATCAAAGCTTTAAACGACAAATTTTCCGTCTTGTGCGTTTCAATGTTGCCAACGTAATTCTGGTCGCTATTTCTATATGGTTGCAAAAATTGTGACGGTTCTTCCTGTCGAAAATCTTACGTCTTGACATCCTGTTCCGTCGCTAAATGTTATCTGCAGCAGGATGAGGTGGATGACGAAATGAGAAGACTAAAGAATGAACTCCAGAGAACAATGGAGATGTACAGTACAGCCTGTAAAGATGCGCTTACAGCAAAACAAAAGGTATTCTAGAAATCCGTTTTTCGAAAAAGCCTGACCCTACTGCAGGTCCACTCCAGACCTAAAAGCCCGATCGCTCCATTATATTTTTGATCGGTCCATTATATATATGAAGTTCTTTTTTCTTCTAGCAATCCGTTTTTCGCAAAATGCTGGGACTAATAAGCCCAAACAGGCCCATGACAAACTTAAAAGCCCGATAGGTCCTTTTATATAGCCCGAAAAAGCTTAGGACATAAAAATCCTGAAAAAGCTTGATCGGGCCTATTTCCACACTATTCGGTCTGGGCCCAAAAATGTCTGGTCTATTTTTGTGCAAATTGAAAACGGGTTTGGAAGGCAGGGTCTTGTGTTGTAACATATATGAAGTTGTAACGTATACCCGCCAGGCAGGAGAACTTGAAAAATGGCGAGTAGAAGAAGCACAGAGACTAGACGATGTCCGGGTTGCTGAAGAGGAAGCACGAGAGATTGCGGACAAAGAAAAGAAACGATATCAAGCATTAATGGCGAAAGCACGAGCATCTCGGAGGATTGCGGAGATAGAATCCGAGAAACGAGGGCTTGAGCAGTCGGAGGAAAAGCCTACGGAGTCAAATAATGTGAATTTGAACCAATTTAAGTATAGAAGATACACCATAGATGAGATCGAAGAAGCAACCGAGTTTTTCACGGAGGCTAGGAAGATCGGCGAAGGAGGTTATGGTCCGGTTTTCAAGGGTCGACTGGATCATACGCTTGTCGCAATTAAGGTTTTACGACCGGATGCTGCTCAAGGAAGATCACAGTTTCAACAAGAGGTAAGAAACAATTTTGTTCTTGCACAGTGTAACTACAACAAAAATGGGTCTTACAAGACATATTAGAGGAAGGGGCAGTTTGGTTGGTTTTCCATTAAGTCTTGTATGGATAAAACTTTCTCTATAGATTGAGAAGGTTTTTGTTTCACAATGGAAAGATCGTTTTTTTAATTGGAAAGGATAAGTTTGGAAAAAAAAACTTAGCTTTCTGCATAAAGCTTTATATATCATTAAGCTACTACCAAACACTTATATATAGTTGACCAAATAAGATGTGAGTCCTATTAAGCTTATTAAGCTGCTAACAAACAGACTCTAACTTAAACAAAACTTAAGGGCATGTTTGATAGTAGCTTAATGATTTAAACGAGACTCGAAATTTATTCGGTCATCTATACATAACTGTTTGGAAGTAGCTTAATGATATAAAAAGTGACATATTAAGTAAGCTTTTTGGGGAGTGTTTTATGCAGAAAGTTAAGGTTTTTTCCAAACCCGCCCTTCAAAAAAAAAAACACACTCATTCCATCTATGAAAAAACTTTGTCAAACAAAACCTTCCGAATCTATACAGACAGCTTTATCCATACATGACTTAATGAAAAACCAACCAAACAATCCCTTAAATCTCAGTGGACCAAAACCAGTGTCCTATATAAAAAGGTTAATAAAACAATTTATTTTTTGTTTCCTATTAGGTTACCAAACTTGGTCGATAAAACTTATTATTCGTCCTACCAACTTATTATAATGTCTTTAGATAAGACACCGGTTTTTAATAAACTTAAAGTTCCGTCAAGACGTCCTAAAAGAACAATTTTATTGTATTGCACAACTTTCTTCACACACTTTTGCAACAAAAATGATAAATTGTTCGATGATAGGTGGAAGTGTTAAGTTGTATGCGACATCCGAATATGGTTCTACTCCTTGGAGCCTGCCCGGAATACGGTTGTTTGGTCTACGAGTACATGGCTAACGGAAGCTTAGAGGACCGTCTACTGAGAAGAGGAAACACCCCGCCGTTGCCGTGGCAAATTCGATTCAAAATCTCAGCAGAAATAGCCACCGGAATCTTATTTCTCCACCAGACCAAGCCGGAACCGATAGTTCATCGTGACTTGAAGCCTGGCAACATTCTCCTAGACCAAAACTTGGTGAGCAAAATAAGCGACGTGGGACTAGCCAGGCTACTCCCAGCATCTCTAACAGAAGATGTCACTCAGTACAGAATGACATCTGCGGCTGGGACGATGTGCTACATCGATCCCGAATACCAGCAAACCGGCATGTTGGGTGTCAAATCCGACGTTTATTCTTTGGGAATCATGTTGTTACAGTTGATTACAGCCAAACCAGCCATGGGGTTGGCTCATCAGGTTCGAAGAGCGATCAATAAAGGAACCTTTGCCGAAATGTTGGATCCAACGGTGTCCGACTGGCCCATCGATGAAGCCTTAGGGTTCGCAAAACTATCGATTCAATGTGCTGAATTGCGACGGAAAGACCGACCGGATCTCGGCAAGGTGGTGTTGCCCGAGCTTTGTAGATTGAGAGATCTTGGTGAAGAAAGTATGCCATCGATCTCGGCCTTTGGAACCGGTCCATGCCCGAGCCATAGTCAAACCTCTATTCCATTGGTCAGTAAGGCTTCTTATCCTTTTCGATCATAATAACCGTAAGACGACATACAAATAATCTAACATGTAGGAACTCTGTATGCAGGACGCTAGCGATCCAGCGTAACACGTTCAAGCTCATTGGGTAAAAGCCCTATGGTTCGTAGGTAGTTGAACTCATGTAACAAAACTAGCGAGGTAGCTCAGGATGGTAATGAACATTTTGTTCGATTTCATATGACCAGGGACCAACCACGAGATCTCTGATTAAGTTGCAGAGAAACCTGGGTTGGTCCCTGACCAAATTTTGTACGATTCAGGGCTATCAAAGTTCTCATCTTTATTGTGATCCATATGGTTTCAAGATATAATGTTTCCGATCAATCGTTCGTCCTCGGTAGCCTTCATCGAGAAATTAGCAACGACTAGAAAAACCGAGTGAATTAGGATACAATAACACCCCAAATTCCATATTCTCCGGTATAGAATAAAGTCATTCTAAGATCGGATCATAACACAGCAATGGAATAAAATTTCAAATTACGGTATCATATGCAAAACGGTATCGTATGCAACAATTTACCCGGTAAGTGCTTACCATGTAAGAGTCGTTGGGTAAGACTCTTGGTCCTTGTCTCGCTTTGATCGGGTAAGATTCTTGCTTCTTGCCATATTCATCCGGTAAGGTAATGTGACACTTGGTATTCACTTACCCAGCCAGGTAAGCATTTGGTAAACAGCCCATAAAAATTCGTTTATCAAATACTAATCGGGTAAGCGTCTACCGAGTCACTTTCCTTACTTAAGTATGCAAGAACCGAGAATCTTATCCAATAAAGAACATAGCAATATGAAACAATTGCTCAAAAACTTCGTATACCATAATTCATCAAACTATGCATGATCAAAAAATGTGTAGATTTTACAAAGAGAGGGAGGGAGAATCAGAATCAAAGAAGAGTAATAAGAATGAAGATAAGAAGAGCAGCAATGAAAGAGTACTTGACAGCAGCAATCAGTATTGCAAACGATATCACAAACAGCTGCCATAATACTTGTACACTCGCCCATGCCAGAACTCCAGTTAACCCGACTGCCACCACATTATCCGGATCCGGATCAAATAGCAACTCGCTCCACCTCAAATTGAATCGCGGTCGTTCACCTCCATTTTTCCTCAGATCCTCTTCTTCATTCCCACCACCACCGCCATCGCCGGTTGTTTTTTCGCTTAGTTTTTCTTTATCTTCTGAAAAGGATGCTTTGAATCCTCTAGGGTTTCTTCTCCTCGATTTTAAATATGGTATATTGTGGATTTGGGTGGATGGAAATCTGGATTGTTGTTTCGGAATCGAGCTCGTGATCAGAATTGACGAAATTGGATGGGTGCGTGTGAAGGTTATGAACCCTAACATTTTTTCCCTTTTTTGATTTTTCCCCAATTTCAGAGCGATTCATCAATTTGGGAACGGCTAATTCCAGATAGGTTTCATAGGCTAAATTTCAAATTCTACCCTTGTGGTTTACGCTTGTACACTATTTGCTTTCACAATTGAAATGTTTTACAATACGGTCCGTATGGATGAAACCAAATCGGCGAATCCCATATCAAGTAGGGGCTCTGTTCCGATAAATAGAGCGATAATTTCCACTAAGGGCTGTTTACCAACACTTACCTGGGTAAGTGTTTACCGGAAAAATCAAAACTATCAATTACTTATCGGGTAAGATTTTAGTCCATCAAAACGGTATCGTATGCAACAACTAACCTGGTAAGTGCTAACCGTGGTAAGAGTCGTCGCCGTCACTTACCAGGTAAGACTCTCAGTCATTGCCTTCGCTCTTACCGAGTAAGATTCATGGTCCTTGCCATATTGATCTGGTAAGGTAATGTGACTTGGTAAGTACTTACCTGGATAAACATTTGGTAAATGGCCCCTAAATCACATTTTATTTTCGACCTTTTCCTTTATTGGCAAAATAAGTCCCTAAGCTTCCTATTTTGCCACTTTACACCCCAAAACAAAATTTTCATTATTACCATTAATAATATTTTTCTTGAGGGTTGCTACAACTTGCAAGTTACATCCACCTTTTTTATATTTATAACTAGTAGTAATGTAAAACCAATTTCCTAAGTCAACCAATCAAACTTCTTTGACTTATAAAGTCAAAGATAATTAATTCCTTAAAAGATCGTGTTTAGTCATCTGATATAATCTCATCTTGCTTCTTTCCCATATATCTTATGTCTGACCCACCTTCATTCTGGTTCAATTTGTTTTGGTGCATCTTCTACCGACCAAACCTAGCCATCGGAGAAGGAGTCTATCAAGCGGTTAACTTGAGATGTCGACGAATAACGAGTCACTGGTTGCATGACAAGTTCTCTCTCTAAAATCTTGTGTAGCGGGGACTTGGGACATGTGCAATGTTGATACAGTGTTGGCGCACCCATATGTCGATACATGTATGATGGAAAAAGTGTCCACATAAGGGCACACCGCACACCTGCCAGAAAGAAAAGTAGTCATGAAACCTTTCCTAGTTTTGTTAACCTGTCACGTCATTTTTTGGTCATGTGATGTCACATCAACATTCTATAATTTTTTTTATAGAGGAAACTGCTATTAGACTACTCAACAAGAGTAAATAGATAATAAACTAACTGAGCATCTAGTGAAAAGAACGGATTGTTCTACTTCTTCGTGGGAAAGTTGGTTACAACAAGTGGTTCAATGCCATGCAAGTCACGTTCCAACTGGATCAGGAAGAGTGGAGACTGTAAAAGAAATCCGTAAACAATGGAACCAATTTTCACTACAACAAAATCGGTTTTACCAAAAAGCCTTTGGCCTAGCGGTATCGTAGCCCTTGACCTTTTAGGAGGTCAGGGGTTCAAACCTCACCATAGGTGAGGAGGGTGTGTAAGTTTATTTGTTGCATTTGCCGTATATAAATATTATATACTTCAAAAAAAAAATCGGTTTTATAGGTTATCAAAAAATGAACCCTATTCATCTTAGAAAAAATACATGAAACAGTTTCATTAAAATTTCATAACCATATATGAAACAACTTAATCAAAAAAGTATTATACGAAACAATTTCATAAGATTAAAACAATGAAATCAACGGATGAGGGTGATTTGCACAGTTTGTACAATTATGAGTGGTTTGCATTTGATCGCTCCTATCTTTTCTCTCTCTCTCTCTCTCTCTCTCTCTCTCTCTATATATATATATATATATATAGGGTTGGGTTGGGTTCACGTGAGACCAAACGTTTTTCGTGAGACCCGTTAGACCAATTTATCTTCATTGATCAACTTTATAAGTTAATGATCTAACGGTCTAAATTGCATGGTGGCAATTTGGTAATTATTAAGAAATCTTGTGGCGTTTATGAATGCTTAGATTGTCAGATTATAGATCTAATCGAATGGTTGAGAATTGGTCTTACGGGTCTCACAAAAAATCATTGGTCTCACATGATCTCAAGTCTAGATATATATATATATATATATATATATATAAATTCCCAATAAACTATACCTTACAAGACTTAAGTTTATAAAACCAAACAATTGTGTATCATATATGTAAAAGTGTTGTAGTAAATTGATATGACATTTTTGAGCGTCTTAACAAATTTTTTAAAACACTCTTGTAACAAAGTGTCCATTAACTTTTTATTAGACACTTTTGAGAAATGTCTTATGAATACATCTTTCTACGGAACATTTATTTTATAAACACTTCTTTTTTCATTTTAAAAATGTCATAAAAGACTTGTTATGATGTCCAAAAACGTCATATCAACTTAATTAAGTCTTATAAAACAGTCTATCATAAGACATATTTGATGTCATATAAAAACTATTTGTTAATTGGTTGTAATGAAAAAAAACATGTAAAACAATGTAACTTGGTTCAGATACAATAAAGGTAATCAAAGGCTGTATCAGAATCAACATAAAATGATATATCCTTTGAATTACCATCAAATAAAATGCTTACAACATTGAGATCTGATCTCAAAGACAAAATATTTTGAGTCTTTTATCTCAAAATATTTATCACAATTTTGGAACTGTCGGTTAAGGATTGGTTATGATTTTCATCCAAAAACAAGGCCCGGCCCGGCCCGGGACCAGTTATAGGACCGGCCTGATTTTTTTTCAAAAAATGTATTTTTAAGTGTGTGTATTTGATTGAAAATCAAATTACAAACTTACAATAAAATATATTTTTAAGTGTATTTAATTAAAAATAAATTATAAAACTATAATAAAACGTAATTTTAAGTGTATTTGATTGAAAATCAACTATAAAACTATAATAAAACGTATTTTTTAAGTTTATTTTATTGACCTCATTAAATATTTTAAAGTGTTAGAATAAAATTAAAGTATTTTTAAAAATTTATCAAAAAGAAATTTAAAAAAAAATATAAAAAATGTTTTTTTTAATATAGGACTGGTTTGGGTCTGGCCCGGGCCCGGTTACCATAACCGGTTACAGTACCCTTAACCGGGCCTTAGTATTTTCGACGGGACCAGGACCGGTTATGAGCATCACTGTTCCGGTCGATAACCGGTTTTTGGCCATCACTACCTAGAAGGGGAGAAAAGATTATGCAAATCACCCCAACAAAATAATACGGTAGCACCTTCCACAACTTTTTTTTTTTACACTACCACAGATGAATGAAACGATGGCTCGTGCCACCGTATATACTACAATGGGTCCGCCCCTAGGAAAATCCCAACTTATAAGTTAGCCTATTGCCATCAAAACAAGATTAGGTTTCATCCAAAATCCTTTGGATTCTAATTTCATGATATATTTCATTTCTTTCAAAAAAAAAAAAAAAACATTTCACGAAGACATCCGTTATGAAAATGACATTTTTCAAGCCTCGTTCAACGGCTTAACAAGAACGATAAGAGTACAAACATACTTCTGTATCATTAATCAGTGAGTATTTCTTGTCAAATAACTTGACGGAAGCAATAAATTTGTGGGTCGGAATTCAACAACGTTACCTTTATATGGGTAGTTATAGACTTTCAAACGGAAAAAAGAATCAAGTTCGAAGATAAGGATCTTTTAAAACAGTTGTCGGGTATCAGTCGAAAATCTTGGTCCCCCTGTCTAGCTATAAATTCAAGACACGTGTATCTCAAACCAACTTGATAGGTATCGATCGAGCTAAAAAGCACGATATAAATGTATAACCTTTTTTTTAAGGAGTCCGTGACATGAATCACAAGATACATAGTAAACAATCAAATAATTGGTAATTTGGAAAGTACAAAATGGGTGGTTTATGACCATCATCAATACTTCACTCTGAAGCAAACATAAAAGAGACTTCAAATACAATCCAAAGTTTAAGATAAAAAGATTACAAACCTTAAATGTTTTAAGAATTCAGTAACCATCTATTTTATATAGTATTCATGATGAATAATTTTAAATAATAATAAATATTATTCATCATTAATATATGTCACAACATTCATCATGAATACTACATAAAATAAATGGTTCATGAGAAGTAAAAATCTATTGTTCTAAAACCTATCCAACCAATGAAATGAAGACAAATCAGATTTTTTTTTTATATTTTAAATTTATTTTATTCAAGTTCACATTCCCTCTCTGATAATGTGTATTCATGTGATTGGTGGATATGAGTGAGACGTGTGAGACTTTGAGACAAACGATTTTTATCCATTCTAGGGTTCTCAGAATATTTAACGTTTCTAAATAGACCTGACCCATGATGATTAACCCCGTAAAAAAACCATCGGATCATTTATTATTTTATTAAAATGAGAGATACTGAGTTTATTTTTTTTAACTGCAATCAATCACTCTGCGAGAAACACCAGATATTTTACAGAAATTCATCGAATTCAAACATTTATGACAATAAACTCCGATTTTAATATTTTACAAACAAAATACCAGTTCCAACTCTAATCTATACTATATTATAAAGCATTTGACAAAAAATTTTAAAAATCATGTTTTATGCATAAAATACTGTTTATTGATGCATATTACTTAAAATTCAAAATCACAAGTAAATTGTGAGTAAGTGCAACTTATTAAAGCTTTAATTTTGAATTTGTGTAACTCACTATAGATAAACATAATTAAATACGGGATAGACATCTCATTTTGAATATAAAAAATCTAAAATGTAATTAGGATAATCATTAGTTATAAAAAAATATTAATTATTATCTTTATAAAAATAATATTATCAAATGATAAATAAATTACTTCGTTATTAGTTCTAAATTAAATTATAAATATAACTACATGGGTGGTGCCTGATTGGTTTGAGCTTGACTCCAAAGGTCAAAAGTACCAGAAGGTCCCAGATTCAAATCCAATGAGAAATTAAAATTCTCTTGTGGCCACGGATGTTCAAATGCGGTGACTCTGAACTATCTGCAAAACAAGTGGCCGCCCTGAGATTAGTCGGCTTGCATAGCGGGTTGGATATTCAGGTTGATTGAAAAAAAAATTAAATTATAAATAAAATATTGAATTAAAGAAATTACACAAAAAAAAATCAAAACTTTAAATAGTAAATTTGATACTAATATCAATAAACTTTTTTTTTTTTCCAAATTTTTATGATATCTTTAAATTTAGATTTCATTCAAAAATAAAAATATTATCGTTTTCTCAAAACCACTAAAAACCGTATTATATCGACAAAGATAAATAATAAAACGAAACATTAAAATTGAGATATATCTCGCTATATTATGCGAACACCGTTCTAGTATTTAAACAAACCAAACGGAAAATTGCAAAAAAAAATTAATTCAGTAAATTACTTTCCAAAAGCTCTAATGATGGAATCTTTTCATAATTAGTAATTACTCCTATTACTTTAACTTTACAACAAATTACAAATCCTACGAATAACAAAATACCGAATATGCCGAATGATATAACTAAGAATGGTCAGTAAATACTCGATTTTAACTTAATATCGAGATCGAAAACGGTGCGGGCCCCACCCGAGCCTAACCTTTGATTAAAACAGCATGCCTTTGAGAAAACCAAAGGAACTATCGACAACAAAACAATCATCATGTCTCTATCAAATAATTATATGCCACTAAAAACCTCTTAAATTAACGTCTCCATAACATACTCTTCTTCAACCCATCTTCATTTTCTTCTTAAATCTTGAATAAATTCTCAGAAAAAAAAAACACATCTATGGGTAGTAGTTTGCTTGACGATGAGTGCGATTACTTGTTTAAGACGGTTTTGATCGGGGATTCGGCGGTCGGGAAATCGAATCTTTTGTCGAGATTTGCCAAGGATGAGTTTCATCTCGACTCTAAGCCAACAATCGGGGTTGAATTCGCTTATAGGAATATTAAGGTCGGAGATAAGATGGTGAAAGCGCAGATTTGGGACACCGCTGGCCAAGAAAGGTGTGTAACTCTCCCTTTTCATGTTTTTTCTCGTCCTCGATTAAACCTCCAAACGGGTTTGATTCGAGTAAATGGTATTAGTGGACGTATACGATTCTTATGTTGTGCGTTGAGTTTTTTGGCAAAATACATTCATCTATACTATCTTATAAAGCATTTACGTAGAACTCTTGAAATAAAATTTAAGTAAACCACAAGGGTGATGCCTGATTGGTTTGAGCTTGGCTCAAAAGGTCAAAAGTGTCAGGAGGTCTCAGGTTCAAATCCAAGTAGGAACAAAAATCCTCTTGTGGCCACGGAGGTTCAAATACGTTGACTCCGGGATACGTGCAGAGCAGGTGGTCGTCCAGGGATTAGTCGGCTCGCATAGCGGGTTGGATGTCCAGGTTAATAAAAAAAAATTAAGTATAAATCACTAATGCGTAAAAATTTTGGTTTGTTAAATTTGTTTTTGCTAAAATAAAAGAATATGTGATTTCTAGTGTTTGGTTCAGTCAAATTAATGAAAATGAAATTGAAAATGAAAATGACAGAGAATGAAAATGTGAATTAATCTGTGATCTTGATTTTAGATTCCGAGCGATAACAAGCTCGTACTACCGCGGAGCATTAGGTGCGATACTGGTGTACGACATAACACGAAGGGTAACCTTTGAGAACTTGCGGAAATGGCTACATGAGCTCAGGGAATACGGGAATCGTGACATGGTGATCGTTCTCGTCGGGAACAAGACGGATTTGGTGGAGTCGAGAGAAGTCGAGGTCAGAGACGGTCAAAGTCTTGCACAAGTAGAGGATTTGTGTTTCATGGAGACATCTGCAAAGGAGAATTTGAATGTGGAGGATGCATTTCTCCAAATGATCACAAAAATCTTTGAAATCGCAAGTCAAAAAAGCCTTGAAGCAAAGGAAAATGAGGCATCAAAGCAAGTTCTTGAAGGGAGGAAAGAGATCATTTATGTGGTTGATGAAGTCACTGCCACTAAACACACCAATTGTTGTACCCTTTGACTTTTTAAGGTCAAACTGAAAGTGAATTGAAATATACAATTTTGTATAAAAATATATAACCCAGGTGCATATTAAATTATTAAGCAGTTAAAACGGTTTTATAAGGTAAATGGTTACTTGGTAAGAGTCTTTTCCATCACTTATTAGGTAAGATTCTGGATACTTGTTATATCTCTTATCGGGTAAGATTTTCGGTCTTTACCATGCTCACCAAGTAAGGAGGCATTTACAGATGGTTGATATTTTTGAGGCATTTCTGGTACCAATTTGTTTGAGTTGGCTTAAAGGGGCATGACGTATTCTATGTAGCCAATTTAGCTTAATGGCTTAACGATTAAGCCATAAAGAAACATTTATATATAACTAAGTGAATAGGTCCCTGAAACCATTAATCTCATTAAGCTCTAAGTATTGAATTTCTATTTTAAAGGTTAAACCGAAGTGAATTTCCCAAAATCATCATCAATTCATATTTTCTAATATCGGTTTCATTACGTGACGGAAAAACGACAGACGAAGAAGAACGTTGAGAACCGATCCAATATCAAGTTGGTGCTTACAATGATAAAGAAATGGAGATAATAAAAAACCCACACCCCAAAAGAGCTATTGTTTTGGCCTATACATCAAACAATTCATTTTTTAAAGCATGATGAGATTCAAACTTAAAACTTCAGGTCTCACCAAAACCATAATTAAAATCATGCAAGAAACTACACACAAGTCAATATCCTCAGTCAGCCTCAAGAATCCATGATCTTGCTGAGCTCCTCTAGTTTCTTCATCCTGCCTTTCTCACTTTCTTTCACCAACTACAAAATTTTCAATCAATCATCAAACTTTACATCCCACTCGATAGCAGAGTAGAGTCGCATGTACACAGACCTGTCCTCTATCCCAAGGAATAAAGTGGAGTCATTATGTACACAAACCTGTCCTCCACCCCAAAAACAGAATGGAGTCGGTACGTACTCAGACCTGTCCTCCATCCCAAGGAATAGAGTGGAGTCAGTATGTACTTAGACCCGTCCTCCACCCCAAAGAATAGAGTGGAGTCGGTATGTACACAGACCTGTCCTGTAACCCAAAGAATAGAGTCGTTGTTTTCTGTTGAAAGCCCGGCTAAAGTAATATATTCGACTACTAGATCATAACTTGTTTTACCTCGACTAGAGTGATTGTTAGTTGATTCTTTTCGTTATTCTTCTGATGGAATGCCTCCATTGCTTCTCTATACTCTTTCTCCTGTTTTCACAAGGAAGAACCGTATTTGATGCTACGTTTTTCGACCATATTTCACATGATATCAAGAAATTCCAGGTCAGATGTTGGTTTTTTACCTTCTTCTGGCAACTTTGTCCCAGTGATCTCACCTCACGGTTAGCCGTATCTATCTTCTTTCGTACCGTTGCAACTTCTTTCCTCATGGGATCTGTTAAAATCTCGAGCTCCTAATATTTATGGAAAGGAAGATATAATTGTCACAGTCATGTTACCAAACAGACCCAAATAAATCCCACTCGAAAGTAGGTCTGGGGTGAGATCTACACAGACTTGACCACTACCCAACAAAACAGAGCGGCTGTTACCATGAAACCCCACGCTTGTGCAACAATGTGAGCAAATAGGTGGAAGGAATGAAGACTCACTGCAACAAAGGACGCTTAGACATATTTGACGTCCTATAAACCCAATTTTGTTGTAGTGACCAACATATGGTGAAACTTGGAAGAAGTAAGAAAAAGTAACGAGTAGTTGCATTAAAACATACGAAAAGGTGAAAACAATGATGTTGGTACTCGGTTTTCGGAGACTTACTTCCCAAACTCGAGCCAGGCGTCTAGTTTCTTCTTCTGCGCGGCCTAGCTGAAACTTGACCTTTTCCCTGACTTGCATCTTCTTCTTCTCGATCTCTTCTTCTCTTGCCAAAAACAAGGCGACAGCCCGTTTTTCTTCTGCATCGTTTCCATCAATCGATACACCACCTTCCTTGGTTTCAACGTTCTTCATTTCTCTCTCGTTGTGCAGGTTGTTGCTTGTCGAAAACCGCCTTTTTGTACCCTCTACGGGATAGCTGCTTTCCTCTTTTGCTTTTGCTTAAAAACTCTCTCTCTGTGTCACAGTCACACACATGGTCATCTTACTTTCAGTTTAAAAGCATTTTAGAAGCAAGTGAAAAAGAGATTGCTGGTATACATCTGTTTCATCATCATGTATAGTTCAAGATGGAATGAAACTTATGATGCTAATGATGGGGTTTAGAAATGTAAATTCATTAGTAGCTCAAAGGTACACCTCAGTCTGTTAATGAAACTGACCCATGGCAAAATGATGAAGAAACAGCTAAGTAAGACCATGTGAACCTCCTAAGATTGGATGAATTGTTTTCCTTTATGCAATCTCAAAAGCAACAAGTGGCTGATTCAATAAGCTTTACTTCTCTCTATGTAATTCACATCTGGTTGGTAAATGTACAAGTGCAGAAACAACTATATCGCGGAATTCTTCCCAGATCTCCGAGAAGTGGTCCCGGAACCCATCCTGAAATTTCGATTTTCACTGTCGGTTTTGGGTTCTTTTTCCATCCCTAAAACATAGGATATGAATCTATGATCCACCCCTGAATAGTGACCTGTTCGATTACAACGAGAACAGAAGAAAAGGCTGGATTTATCATAGGATATGTACTTACCACACATGCAGTTTGGTAGTTGTTCAAAAATTTCAAGTTCATCCAACAGATGCTTGAGTCTGCCATAATACTCCATTATAGTCGGGCCTCTCTGTTTACATCCAGAGAGATTAAATTCTAACTGTTGTATTTGTGGCCTGTTTGTAACCGAAAACCGGTTACGGAGGTCATTCCATGGTTCCTCCACATTCTGCATATGTGAGCGTAGCGTGGGTTCAATAGTATTACGAATCCAGGACACCAACAATGAGTTGATTGTCCACCAATCTTCAAGGTCTTCCGCCCCTTCTTTAGGTTCTTTAATCGTGCCATCAACGAACCCGAATTTCTTTCAGGCTCGCAAAGCTGTCCGAAACGAACGAGCCCACTCATCATAGTTATCTCCTTTCAATTGCACCTGAGTGATCAAGAGGCCTGGGTTATCAAGGGAGGTGATATCGTGAGGCGCGATCGTCTACCTGATCCCACCGGCAAGGACCTCGCCTGGTTTCCGGCCGCACCGGCGGGGATATCACCACCAGTCATTTTATTCGACTGGTGCTCTGATACCATGACAAACAAGGAGAACAATATACTGTCTTGCTATCTTATTGCTTCTGCCATACATATATATCCATAGAGAAAGCATCCTGCTAAAACTTTCCTAAAATATTGCTAAATCATACAATCTCACCCAAAATAAACAGATTCACGCAATATTTCCATTACTTTTGTTGTAAAATTATATGTTTCGTCAAGGAACACGATCCAAAATAGAAATTTTCTAGAATTTAATCCGGCAGCATGAACGCCTATCCTGGTGTTTATCGGTGGTGGTATACAATCGGTTTTCGTATTTACGTTTTCATATAATAAAAGAAATCAATCATATATTAGGTCAAGAATAAGATCTAACGAGATCTACAATTCTATGGCTTTACAAGGTACAGGCGGAAGGCCGGAGAAGATCGGAGAATGACAGAAGGGGCAATCAGACTGTTTCCAATGAAGTAATTTAGCAACGCAGTCGGAGTGGAAGACATGACGGCACCTGCTCAGCTGACAAACGACGTCGTCGCCTTGGTACACGGCGGAGCAAATGAAACACATCTCCTCCACCGATCTGTTCCGCCGGTCCAGCAACTCCTCGAATCTGATAATCGGTAGATCCATGAGACTCAGGTGTGGAGTGATGCGATTGCATTGAAACAAGTAGAAGACGGAATCAGTGAGAAGATGAATCAAATCGTTCTTGATTCGAAAGATTGGGATTAATATCAAGATGCAGAAGACGATGTCCATCATGATTTTGGTTTCCGGTGGAAGGGATGGTGATGGGGTTTTATAATGAAAAGGATGGGGACAAACGGTGAATGGCATCAGGTTTAACGGTCGGATATTGTTGCCATGAAGCCATGCCGGCCGGCATGGTGCTGGTGTTGGATCACGTTAATTTGTATTAAAACGCTAAATTACATAAATAGTCCTTGTAGTTTCTTCCGACTCCAGGTTTTGTCATTTTTGGGAAAAACAATTACATGGACAGTACTGGCCCTAACACACGTTAAGTCTTCCGTTTACCTAAACACTTATTCGGTAAGTACTTATGGATAAAGTTCAACACTATCGCTTACTTACTGGGTATATGATTTTATCCACTAAAACGTATTGTATGCAACAATTTATCTCGATAAGCGCTAACCATGGTAAGAGTCGTTGTCCTTACTTATCGGGTAAGACTCTCGATTCTTGCCTTCGCTCGTACTGAGTAAGATTTTTAGTTCTTGTCATATTTATCCGGTAAAGTAAGTGATTCGGTAAACGCTTACCCGGCTAAGCATTTAGTAAATGGCACCTAAGAGGTATATTGATTAATTTTAACCATTTCCATACCCCCTCCCCTCTCCTTCCACTTCATTACTGTAATTATTTTCATCTAGTTGTATACAACTGACACCAAAACTTTCATCGACTTTGGTTTCCTCGTTCACCTTCATCAACACCGTGGAAGATGAGGTTCTCCATTTGGGTTCTCCACGGAAGGACGGTGTGCAAAGGTGTAAAGGTTGCCACAGAAGGAGGCGGCACCGACACAGGGGTTGGAGGGGGCGTCAATGAATTGGGAGTGGGTTTGGTTAGCGCTTTTTTCTAAATTGGTTTAATAGCTTGTATTCAAGCTCTAATAACTCGCACAATAAAAATTAATATATCAAATATTGGTAAAATGACGGAAATGTCTCTCGTGTGAAGACACGTAATGATACCTTCTACCGATGCTAACGGTCAAGGATGAAATCTACACTGAATTACAAGCGTCAGTAGCATTTCTTATAATTTCTAAAAGTTAGGGACTAAAACCGAAATTTTCATAAACCCCAAACCTAATTTTTGTAGTTTGCTCTAAATTACGAAAAAGCTTCAACTTGTCTGTAACGTAAAATAGACACAAAAAGATTATTAAAAAATCCGAAAATCCCAAGGGTTTTCTTAAACATTTTTAATATTATCTTAACATAAATATTCTATTTTAATACAATAAAAATATAATAATCATTACCATGAGATGTGATTGATTGTTGTCATGTTCATTTAATTTTTAGTACATATTTATTTTTCAAATAAAACAGATTTTTTATCACTTTTAGACAACCATATACCTAGAAATTTTTTTAAATAATGGTACCATTTGATTATAAGAAATAAATATAGAATTTTTTTTTTTAATGGTGGTACTATTTAACTATAAGAAACAAATGTGGATAATTTTTTTAAATTGTGGTATCATTTGACTAAGAAAATGACACTAATATGATTCGAACTTGGGTCTATGGTGGAATAAGAGTCTTGCAAACCAACTCTGCCAAAAAAAAAAAAACTTGTTCACATTTGGAAATGGTGTTTTGTTTACTTGTGGCTTATTTGAACATAACATGTCTTATTCACACACTTTTGGAGATGGTGTATTGTCCTCGTTCAGCCAAAAGAAAAGGACATCCCTAACCCTTATTTATAATAAACATGCTTGGATAACAAGTATGCATCCTTCCCTACAAACACTTCCTCTTCCTAAAACCTTAGTCGTGACCAGCGACCATCGACAAGCCTTGCAACTTCGTCGTGACCGTCGACCATCTTTCTAGCGACCGTCTTCTTCCTCATTGGTGCCTCCCTCTTTTTCCAAGCGACTGATGAGCGACCCTGTATCTCCTTCTCGACAGGATTCAATTTTTGATTGGGGGCATCTTCTCTTCTCTTTGATTTATGATTGAAGCGACTGTCTTCTTCATCATCGACATCTCTCTTCTCTTCTCTTCAATTTCGTAATTATCAATAACTTTATGAATTTGTTATTGTTTTGCCTACAGTTTGGACCTAGGATTCTAAGCTTGTAGGCATGGTTTGGAAAACTTGTTGAAAACTTGAAATGTGATTCCTTCAATCAAAGGATTTTTTTTTATCCTTGTAAACTATGGTTTTCGTCATATAGGGTGCGTTTGGTATGCAGACTATATGGGACGGGACGAGACAAAAAAAAATATTCCCATGTTTGGCATGTCATGGACAAAAAATACATAGGACAAGATGAAACTATTTTTAAATTTCATGGGACAAAACTTGATAATTTTTGTTCCACCAAAAAAGGTGGAACAACATGGGACTAAATATAAAATGACTATGTTACCCTTAGACCAATGTGAGATTCAAAACCCAATTAGTCTCGTCCCGTCCCGTCCTGTTCCGTCATGTCTGCGTATCAAACGCTACCTAGGGATTTGTCAAATTATAGTACATGCAATCACAAACGAATATTTTGCCCAAAAATGATGATAAATTAGTGTTTGAAATTTATTTCTTGGACGATATCGATGCATACCATGTATTTGATGAATCGAACTTATATGTAAATTCCAACTAAACAAGGTATAATTCATACGTAAGGGTCAAACAATCATTTTTATCGTTCAAACCGTTGATTCAGGAAAAAAAAAGTAAACAACATGACATTTTTATCCGCACAGTAAATTTATCCATATATGACTTACCAGAAAATTTGGTAAATAGTCTCTTCGGCTTACCCGATTATATATATTATAATATTTATCCAAAAGTATTGATCGTGGCATCTTTTTAATTTCAGTTTTTCGGCTATTTTGTTTCTGTATCTAACAGAAATGCTCTATTATCTATACTACATTAATAAGCATTTAAACCAAAATCTTAAATATAAGTTTTAATGCATTGAATACAAGCTTTTAAAGCATAAAATAAAAAATCTCTTAATTACAGGTTGTATGCATGATGCACAACTTATTAATACACAGATTTTTCACCAAAACCAAAAATGGAGTCTTAGACTCCTTTTTCTTCTACAATGGTCTCAAAAGCTTCCATTTGGTATAAGCTTTATTTTCTCTCCTCCTTGTAAAGCTTTCTTTTCTTTTCTTCAACA